TTGCAGCCTTATTCCAAAATGTATAAAATAAATTTTTTCCTCAACATTCTACAAACAATACCTCGTAATGACAACGTGGAAGAAGTTGGTTTTGAAATCTTTGCAATTTATTTAAAAAAAAAAAAAACACATGTACATAAGTATTCACAGCCTTTGCCACGACACTCAAAATTGAGCTCTGGTGCATCCTGTTCCCACTGATCATCTTTGAGATGTTTCCACAATTTGATTGAAGTCCACCTGTGGGAAGTTCAGTTGATTGGACTTGATTAGGAAAGGTATAAACCTGTCTATACAAGGTCCCACAGTTAACAGTGCATGTAAAAGCACAAACCAAGCCATGAAGTCCAAGGAATTGTCTGTAGACCACCGAGACAGGATTGTATCACTGCACAGGTCTAGGGAAGGGTACAGAAAAATTTCTACAGCATTGAAGGTCCCAATGAGCACAGTGGCTTCCATCATCCATAAGTGGAAGAAGTTTGGAATCACCAGGAATCTTCCTAGAGCAGGCCGCCTGGCCAAAATGAGCGATCGAGGGAGAAGGGCCTTAGCCAGGAAGGTAACCAAGCAATCAATGGTCACTCTGAAAGAGCTCCAGCATTTCTCTGTGGAGAGAGGAGAACGTTCCAGAAGAACAACCATCTCTGCAGCGCTCCACTCCACAGCACTCCATTCTTCATAGGCCTGTATGGTAGAATGGCCAGACAAAAGCCACTCCTCAGTAAAAGGCAAATGGCAGCCCGCCTAGAGTATTCCAGCAGGCAACTGAGGGACACTCAGACCATGAGGAACAAAACACTCTGTTCTGATGAAACAAAAATTGAACTCTTTGGCCTGAATGCCAAGCGTCATGTCTGGAGGAAATCGGGCACAGCTCACCACCTGGCCAATCCCATCCCTACAGTGAAGCACGGTGGTTGCAGCATCATGCTCTGGGGATGTTTTTCAGCAGCAGGAACTGGAAGACTAGTCAGGATCTAGTCAGGCCTTAATGCCAAGCGTCATGTCTGGAGGAAATTGGGCACAGCTCACCACCTGGCCAATACCATCCCTAGAGTGAAGCATGGTGGTGGCAGCATCATGCTGTGGGGATGTTTTTCAGCAGCAGGAACTGGAAGACTAGTCAGGATCAAAGAAAAGATGAATGCAGCAATGTACAAGAGACATGCTTGTTGAAAACCTCTTCCAGGGCACTCTGGATCTTAGACTGAGGCGACGGTTCATCTTTCCACAGGAATACGACCCTAAGCACACAGCCCACATAACGAAGGAGCGGCTACGGGCCAACTCTGTGAATGTCCTGGAGTGGCCCAGCCAGAGTCCTGACTTGAACCCGATTTGAACATTTCTGGAGAGATCTGAAAATGGCTGTGCACCGATACTCCCCATCCAACCTGATGGAGCTTGAGAGGTACTGCAAAGAAGAATGGGAGAAATTGCCAAAAACTAGATGTGCCAAGCTTGTAGCATCGTACTCAAATCGACTTGAGGCTGTAATTGGTGCTAAAGGTGCTTCAACAAAGTATTGAGCAAAGGCTGTGAGTACTTATGTACATGTAATTTTTTTATTTTTAATAAATTGCAAAGATTTCAAAACAAACTTCTTTGACGTTGTCATTATGGGGTATTGTTTGTAGAATGTTGAGTAAAAAAAATAAATTTAATCCATTTTGGAATAAGGCTGTAACATAACATGTGGCAAAAGTTAAGCGCTCTGAATACTTTCTGGATGCTCTGTGTAAAACCTTTGGAATAATTTTTCATATTTTAGAATGTTATGCCTCAAGATTGTCCATCATTTTAAAGGGTGCTTCGCGACTGTCCATAATTTTAAAGGGTGCCTTGAATGAGAAAAGGTTGAGAAACACTGCTCTATGTGACACACAACAGAAAGGTTGAGTAAATTTTTCACCATTTTAACTGGTTGTTGGTGTGATTTCTATATTTTCAGCACCTGTTAATTGATACAGGTTAGTTTAATTATAAATTTCAGGAGCATCACAAATTTGGAATGCAATTAAACATTTGTGCCTAAACATTTGTAATTGCAACAATTTTCTTGGCGAAGTGGTGCATTATCTATCTGGAAACAAAGCAGGGGTATCAATATTTTTTGGCCATGACTGTATATTGTGACATGGGGTAGCTGGCTCTCATGGTAAATGCATCTACAGTTGTGACCAAAATTATTCAACCCCCACTGAAATTGAGTGTTTTGGCCAGTTTGACATTGCTTTTGATCATTCAGTCATCTTGCTTACATTTACATTAAAGAGGCACTTGTAGGTCAGACAAATATAACATAACAGTTATAATGAAATAACCACAAATGTCTTTTCTGTGCTCACAGCATTATCAGTTTTATTCAACCCCCAAGTGACATTCAATCTTAGTACTTAGTACAGCATCCTTTTACAGTTATAACAGCTTTTAAACGTGAAGCATAGCTTGACACAAGTGTCTTGCAGCGATCTACGGGTATCTTCGCCCATTCTTCATGGGCAAAGGCCTCCAGTTCAGTCACATTCTTAGGCTTGCGCACTGCAACTGCTTTCTTTAAGTCCCACCAGAGGTTCTCAATCGGATTTAAGTCTGGTGACTGCGATGGCCACTCCAAAATGTTCCAGCCTTTCCTCTGCAACCATGCTCTAGTGGACTTGGAGGTATGCTTGGGATCATTGTCCTGTTGAAAGGTCCAACGTCTCCCAAGCCTCAGGTGTGTGACGGACTGCATCACGTTTCCATCCAATATCTCCTGGTACTGAAGAGAATTCATGGTACCTTGCACACGCTGAAGCTTCCCTGTACCTGCAGAAGCAAAACAGCCCCAAAGCATGATTGACCCTCCACCATGCTTCACAGTAGGCAAGGTGTTCTTTTCATCATAGGCCTTGTTCTTCCTCCTCCAAACATAGCGTTGATCCATGGGCCCAAACAGTTCTAATTTTGTTTCATCAGTCCACAGAACACTATCCCACAACTTTTGTGGTTTGTCCACATGGCTTTTGGCATACTGCAGTCGACTCTTCTTATTCTTTGGAGACAGCAAGGGGGTACGCCTGGGAGTTCTGGCACGGAGGCCTTCATTACGCAGTGTGCGTCTTATTGTCTGGGCTGAAACTTCTGTACCCACATCTGACAAATCTTTTCTCAGTTCCTCAGCAGTCACACGGGGACTTCTCTCCACTCTACGCTTCAGGTAGCGCACAGCAGTCGAAGTCAGCATCTTCTTTCTGCCACGACCAGGTAGCGTTTCAACAGTGCCCTTTGCCTTGAATTTGCGAATGATGCTTCCTAAGGTGTCTCTTGGTATGTTTAACATCTTTGCAATCTTCTTATAGCCATTGCCCTTCCTGTGAAGAGAAATCACCTCTTCTCTTGTCTTCCTGGACCATTCTCTTGCCTTCACCATGTTTGTAACCACACCAGTAAATGTCTAGAAGGAGCTGAGTATCACAGTCATTTTAAAGCTGCCTAATTGGTGCTTATTATGCTTGATTGCTGCTCGGTGACATCCACAGGTGTTTTCAATACCTGATGGAAAGCACCTGTATGAACCTCTGTTCTTCAGAGTGGTAGTCTTTAAGGGGTTGAATAATTGTGGCAATGAAGAAACCACATAAGAACCATTTACTACTGTATTACATAAACAATTGATGTCATTTTAGTTGCATTTGGGTAGTTACAACGTCCTTGTAGGATTTGATTCTGAATACAATTCCAAATGTACACTATAGTCCCTAAACCCTTTACAGCATTGGGGGTTGAATAATTTTGGTCACAACTGTATATAGTGAGTCCAATGCAGACAGGAACTATTTTTAGGGACCTGGTAGCCCACTTTTATTTAAAAGAAACCAAAATTCCACAAGCACATAACTTCCCACACAGGGGATCTTCTTCAGCTTCAGCAAAAAAGACAAACACTGGAAAATGCCAAGCCACCTGGCTCATAAGCTCATTCACCTTTCATTGCAGTACCTCTCTCCTGGATACCTGGCTCTCTATCCTTTAGTCACAGCGCCCTGCTGCACGGCCCACCTATGGATTGGGGTTCTCCTGGAACTGAGACCTCTGTCTTTTGGCTTTCGGCTGGGACCTCTGACCCCTCAATGAGACCTTTTGTCTCCCCCACTGGAAGCGGTCTCCAGAATGGGAGCCCTGAGCTTTCTGCAGACCTGTGCGTGTATATATAATGACCCTGCACACCTGTGCACTCAGACAGATTGCAGGCATCTGGAAAAACCCAGACACATAATTGAAAGTTCCAATACAGAATCCAGAGAAAGTCAAAACACCGCTTTCTCTGCTCCGAAACCACAATCTGGAACTTTGCAGTAACCCTAGCTGCAAATCCTGTGTCACATTTTCATATCTTCACACAGTGACAGAGATTTGTCCTGTCACAAAAAAAAATAAAAAAATATATGTTTTAATGCACTTAATTTCTCATAGAAATGGCGGTTCTATGCTCTTTTGCAGTGGCCATACACTATAACCATCACAATAGTGTGAAAGTATATATTCTCTCTCTTGACTTCACCTTTTGTGTGACATTGCTATGGCTGTCAGGGCTAGATTTCTCAGCATTCTACACCACAGGGAGTGAATTAAGGTTGGCCATACACTATACAATTTTCTGTCCAATTTCTGCCCAATTTCTTTTAGATTTACCTTCAGCTATGTAGTGCAAGGGTCTGCCTAATTGGATACAATTGAAAGTGTTGTTTAGGTTTGACCTCTTATTATATGGTTTTTGGTAAATCTAAACCAAAAATCTCAAGAAAATTGTATAATGTATGGCCAGCCTAAGAATGTGACACTTGGTGTGGATAACATAGGTCTTCCTGTGCCTGGAGTTCACTTGTGAAAAAAAAAAAAAAAAAACTACGATAAAGTTCTGTGTAGATTTTAAGCTTATGTGTTTAGAATTGTAATAACTGCTGACTTTGTACTTGTTTCAAGGCGATCTAACAGATGGCAAATCCAAAGATAAAATGGGGTCGGACCAATTTGAGGAAGAGTGGCAAATTTACAGATCTGTTCTGAAGAAGTCTCAGATTCTGGAGAAAACAGTATGGGTTGACATTCGTGGAAATCATGGTAGGAGATTGTTGCATTCTTTCATTGAGGATTACCAATTTCAGTGGAAATCTCTTGCTTGCTTGGAGCCCTACATAAAAGAGCAATGCACTCCTGCTGGCACACAGGGCAGTAGTTTGAGATGTGATGTTTTAGTTATTTTATCAGATTTCCTGCAAGTAGAATGTGGTGTGTGATAAGCTGTATAAAGGCTAGACTAGTTGGGCATTATTCCATGAGCACATGCAGGGGATTTTCATTTAAAGTAAATTCTCAAATATAGAAAATCTTTAGTGTCATAGTGTGTTTTCTTTATGAATTATGTTCAAGGATTAACCTTTTCTTTTTTTACCAGTTTAAAATGTTTTCAAAGTACTGTAAATATGAAATAATGCAACTTGTGCAAAGCTAATTTGAGAAGGGTGATTTAGTACTGTGCTGTGCTGTGAATAGACATGAAGACATGAATAGCTTGAGTACTACCTAAATAGCATTTGAATGATTTAGCATACGGTGGATATAAAAAGTCTACACACCCCTGTTAAAATTTCAGGTTTCTGTGATGTAAAAAAATGAGACAGAAAAATAATTTCAGAACTTTTTCCACTTTTTAATTTAACCTTTAAATGGTACAACTCAGTTGAACAACAAACTGAATATATTTTAGGTGAAGGGAAGTAAAAATAAGAAACTAAAATTAATATGGTTGCATAAGTGTGCACACCATTAAACGAATACTTTGTTGAAGCACCTTTTGGATTTTATTACAGCACTCAGTCTTTTTGGGTATGAGTCTATCAGCATGGCACATCTTGACTTGGCAATATTTGCCCACTCTTCCTTGCAAAACCACTCCAAATCTGTCAGATTGCGCGGGCATCTCCTGTGCACAGCCTTCTTCAGATCGACCCACAGATGTTTTCGGTTTCAGGTCTGGGATCTTGCTGGGCCATTCCAAAACTTTAATCTTCTAGTGAAGCCATTCCTTTATCAATTTGGATGTATGCTTTGGGTTGTTTTTATGCTGAAAGATGAAGTTCCTCTTCATGTTCAGCTTTGTAGCAGAAGCCTGAAGGTTTTGTGCCAATATTGACTGGTATTTGGAACTTTTCCTAATTCCCTCTACCTTGACTAAGGCCCCAGTTAAAGCTGAAGAAAAACAGCCCCAAAGCATGATGCTGCCTCCACCATGCTTCACTGTGGGTATGGTGTTCTTTTGGTGATGTTCAGTGTTGTTTTTGCACCAAACATATCTTTTAGAATTATGGCCAAAAAGTTCAAGCTTGGTTTCATCAGACCAGAACACATTTTCCCACATGCTTTTGGGAGACTTCAGATGTGTTTTTGCAAATTTAACAGGGCTTGGATATTTTTCTTTGTAAAAAAGGGCTTCCTTCTTGCCACTCTACCCCATAGCCCAGACATATGAAGAATACGGGAGATTGTTGTCACGTGTACCACGTAGCCAGTACTTGCCAGATATTCCTGCAGCTCCTTTCATGTTGCTGTAGGCCTCTTGTCAACCTCCCAGACCAGTTTTTTTTTCTCGTCTTTTCATCAATTTTGGAGGGACATCCAGTTCTTGGTAATGTCTCTGTTGTGCAATATGTTCTCTACTTGATGACTGTCTTCACTGTGTTCCATGGTATATCTAATGCTTTGGAAAGTCTCTTGTACCCTTCTCCTGACTGATACCTTTTAACAATGAGATCCCTGTGATGCTTTGGAAGCTCTCTGTGAACCATGGCTTTTGCTGTAGGATGTGACTAAGAAAATGTCAGGAAAGACCTACTAAAACATCTGAACTTTATTTGGTGTTAATCAGAGGCACTTTAAAAATGATGGCAGGTGTGTACTGACTCCTATTTAACATGGCTTTGAATGTGATTGCTTAATTCTGAACACAGCTACATCCCCAGTTATAAGAGAGTTGCACACTTATGCAACTGCATTATTTTAGTTTTTTAGGTTTACTTAACCCCCCCCCCCCCCAAAAAAAAAGATTTCAGTTTGTTTTTCAATTGAGTTGTACAGTTTATAGGTCACATTAAAGGTGAAAAAAGTTCTGAAATTATTTCTCTGTCTCGTTTTTTTACATCACGGATACCTGACATTTTAACAGGGGTATGTAGACTTTTTATATCCACTGTAGCTACATACCCTCTTTCCACACTGCTAGAAGTGGATTTTATAGCTTAAAGAGCAATTGCAAAAGTGCGGAACCTAGTTTCAAGCTTTCTTTTTCAGAAAGCACAGCATGCTGTGCAAATAAAAACAAAACGTGATCAGACTATTTATTTGCATGTTATTAATGATGTAAATATTTCTGACAAACCTCCTAAAGAGGATACATAACATCAGTTTATAAACGTGCATTTTTTGCATCTCACTTTAGTGTTTCAGTTGGAGAGTCCTCTCATTTCCTTTTCCAGTGTCAATACAAAATATTTGACTATTTTTAGTTTTTAGTTTTTTTTTTTTTTTTTTTCTTTTTGTATATAATGAGCTTGTGACACTCAATTACTGTGTGGTGAGATGTCTGGTACATTAAAGGCTAACTCTGGATAGTTGTATGTGTTTGTTTTTTTGGGAGGACAAAAAGGTTTTCATAGTAGTTTGTGGCCCCATTGGAGAGATGATGGTGATAGCATAGCAAGTGAGAGGAAATCTCTACCAGGGTCAGGTTTATTATCCTTGTATGTATTATCTGATGCAGAGTACACAGGATTTTCTTTCTACCCTGATATCTAGTAAAGGGAGTAAACATTAAAAGGAGTTGAGAGAACCAAGTAAATAAATGTTAAAAAAAAAAAAAGAAAGAAAAATATGTGGGTAGTTTATGGACATGGAATGATTTCTTTACATTTTGGTAGGTCATACACCTTTTAGTGCTTAACTCCCATGTTGCAGTAAAAGGTGATGGGGGTTCTAGACCTTCCCACTCAAACAAAAAAATTAAAAAATCATTTTTTATTGTCATCCTCTTTGAATTGATACTTTTCTCATTACTTCCTGTCCTAGTGACAGTGTTGTTTATAGAACAGGAACTGAAGGAAAATATACCAAGCAGTCATAAAAAGGAGTGTAGAGGATAAAAGTATCAAAAGCTGTTTTCATATCTCTATTACTTATTGACTGAATCCTTTTTTTCTTTTCCTTTCTTCAATGCAGATTCATTTAACATTGCACACCTGAGCAGCACCAAAAATTACTACAGGTACAGAACCCAGAAATAAGAAGGAACCATTGGGGTATGTGGGGAAAATACAGCATTATACCTACCCTTTTGTTTTTCTTTTTTTAGAATTTGAATAAAAAGAAATAAAATAATATTTAGAGTGAACACATTTTTAGTTGGTTCAGTGGTTACCTCAAGATGAACCTGTGTACAGGCTCTGGACATTCAAGTAAAGCCATTAAAAAAACTTTTAAAATATGTCCTCACTAGCCTCTGAAGCTGCAGACTCTGTGGAGCAATTCATCCTCAAAAGTTCACAGCCTTGGCACTATTGTTGTCCAAATTGTTCTTTTATCATCTCAACATGCCTTGCTGCAGCAGTTGCTGTTGGTATTGTATAGACTGCATGTAGCATCAGCTATATGCAATTAATAGAGCCGTGTTCCAACAGCAGTACGAAGACCTCCGTCTGCTTCCAGAACAAAATAGAGTTGAGCTGAGGGTCCATTCACACCAAAGCGTGGTGTGAGAAAGCCGTGTTTTGTTTCCTGTTCTGCAGATGAATGTGTTTTCATTGTGAGATGCATACAGGTGGCAAATAATTGTTAATGGTAACCCAATCACATCTCGCAAACACAGCACGTTTGCAGGTATGAAATTACATGGTACTCAGTACCTTGCCATTTGGTGAAGTGCATTGTAAAAAAGTAGAGATGGTGTAGCAAACGTGCACACAGAGATGGATGCAAACCTCCATTTTGGCAGAGGCCTCCATCTTCTATCATTTTCTACTCCCAAATCAGCTTCCCTCATATCCCCCCTCCCTCTCTGTTGAGTGACATGTGGTCTGTTTGATGCAGAGATCAAAGGCATCAAGGCCCAGCTGGAGAGCTCATGGCTATAAACCCCAATTAGCCTGGCCCCCAGATGCCTGCAAGACTCTGCTTGGAGAGGGATTGTAAAACCATAAACCAAGTCCTTCACTGAGCTCAAAGACATTCCAGGTAGTCATAAAACAGACTCACATTTAAACATCCCCTTTTCCCCTATGATTACATATCTTGGACTATGAAAGACATACATAAAAACCAGCATATATTCAGATCGGTCTTGTTAATACAAGTCATCTGATATATTACATCCCCTAGCTGGCATCAACAGGAGAGCAGAAAATTATATCTCCTAAACCATTCCAGCAGGTATGTCATATTTCATATCTAGACGTTCAGCAGATGATTCTGCGTATTAATCTACTAGTGGCAAGGCTGCTAAATGCACCAAGAGTAAGTTATGGACCATAGTATAATTTGTGAGGGCTTTGGTCAGAGCCTGAGCTCCCCGCCTACAACTCCTTCCCCAAATGAGGTGATTGGTTCTCTGCTTCAGGGAGACACCCTGCTGAGATCCTAGAAAAAGGCTGTTATGCTTGGAGTTAAGCTAAGCTGAGTCAAACTAAGTTGAAGATTCTCCCTTGTAACATTGGAACCAACTCTGGGAGATGTCCCTTTTGCTCTGAAACTTGAAAGCTGCTTAAACCAAGGCTTTTGGCAAGTACTTTTATCTAAATTCCTTTCTGCTATCTATTTGCTGTGTTATTGCTCTCTGTAAATTTATATATATATATATATATATATATATATATAGGCTACATCTTTTTCTGTAAATATTTTTATTGCACCCTTTTGAACTTTTAGTAATAAATCTTACTTTCTGAAAGCGTTGAACTGTTTTTACAGCTCTATAATGCAAACTAAGAACCCCTGCCTATGAAGAGCGCTACTATGTGTGTTTTAAACTTCAATATATATCTGCCTGTGGTGACAGTGGTATACCGACGCTTTTGCAAACACCATAGTGTTATTGCTGATGTTGCCGGGTTTCCTCTTTTT